CCATTCTAATACATGTATAGTAGTATCTCATCATGATTTTAATTTGCCTTTCCCTAATGACTACTAATATTGAACATCTTTTCATGTGCTTCTTTGCCAACCTTATGTCTACTTTGGTGATGTCTTCAAATCATGTCCATTTTTTATTGAGTTGTTTTATTTAGTCTTGGAGTTCTTTATGTCTTCTGGATACAAGTACTTTATCAGAATTATAATTTACAAAGATTTTCTCCCAGTGAAAAGGCTTATCTTTTCATTCTGTTAACCGTGTAATAGAAAGAGCAGAAGTTCTTAATTTTGATGAGGTCCAATTTGTCCATTTTTTTCTTTTACCGACCATGCTTTTGTTGTTCTGAGTAAAAAAAATCTTTGCATAACCCAAAGTTATAAAGATTTTCTTCTAAAAGTTTTATGGTTGTATCCTTTATATCTAGCTCTATGATCTATTTACTCTTGTGAGTTTTTGTATAAGGTGTTAGAGATGGATCAAAGTAGATGGGGTGTCATATAGATAACCAGTTTTTCTAGCTCCATTTGTTGAAAGATTATTTCTTTCATCAAATTTGGAAAATTTTTGACTGTTACTTCTTCAAATATTTTTTCTATTCCTCTGTTTCTCCTGTCATTTGGTGACACCACTTACACATATATTAGGCTCCTTGAAGTTGTCCCATAGCTCACTGATACTCTGCTCATTTATTTCAGTCTTGTTTTCTCCTAGTTTTTCATGTTGGATAGTTTCTATTGCTATGTCTTCAGGTTTACTAATATTTTCTTCTGCAATGTCTAATCTGCTGTTAATCACATCTAGTGTGCTTTTCATCTCAGATATTTTGGTTTTCATCTCTAGATATTCAAATTGAATCCTTTTTTTATACCTGCCATGTTTCCACCTAGCATGCCCAATCTTTCCTTTAGCTTTTTGAACATATGAGTACAATATGTAAAGTTAAAAATAACTATTTTAATGTCCTTGTCTATTAATTCAGTCACATTGGTGATTTCTGAATCAATCTTAAATTGATTGATTTTTCTCCACATTTTAGGTTATATTTTCCTGCTTATTTGCATCCCTGGTTATTTTTGATTGGCTGCCAGCCATCATGAATTTTACCTTATTGAGTGCTGGATATTTTTGTATTCTTAGAAATATTCTTAAGCTTTGTTTTAGGATACTTAAGTTACTTTGGAGCAGTTTGATCCAATCAGATCTTGCTTTTTAAGTTTTGTTAGTTGCAACCAGAGCAGGATTAAGTCTAGGGCATAACCCTTCTGAATACTCAATGCCTCATGAATTATGAGGTTTTTCCACTCACCCTGGTGAGAACAGTAACTATTCCTGACTCCGTATGACCTCCTGATATTGTTCCCTGTAATGCTGGTTCTTTACCTGGCCTTGGGTAATGTCCTCATACACATGCAATGATCAGCGCCCAGCTGAAGATCAGAGGGAGTCCTCTGCAGTTCTTGAGCACTTTCTCTGTGCAACCCTCTCCTCTGTAATTGCTTGGTTCTGTGCACTGTAACCACCTTGATCTCCCTGGTCTCCCAGTTCATCTCTTCAACTTGGAGACTGCCAGGCTCTACCTAGATTCTTCTTTCCTGAGTTGCACCTGGAAACTTTCTCTGTATGGTTAGCTGGGGCAATTGTATAGCTTATCTTATTTGTTTCCATTTCTTAGGGATCACTGTTTTCGTAGTCTGATGACTTGAAAAACGTTCCATATATTTTGTTCAATATTTTAGTTGTTTCAGGTTGGAGGGTCCTTGTTACTTCATCTTAGTCAGAAGTGGGAGTCATTTTATCTTTACTTTCATTACTATAAGAATTTAATTTTTGAATAGGTGAGTCATTCCCATGGTTCAGAATTCAAGAAATATAAATATATATTCAGTTGAAATCTCCCTCCTAATCCTCCTAATCCACTACCAATCTAGTCCTCACTCCCCCATAAGAAACTGTGCTATTAGTTTATCCTTCCAGAGTTTCTTTATCCATATACAAGTAAGTAAAAATTATATATTCTTATTCCTCTTCCACCTCCTTTTTCAAGAAAAGGTTACATACTATGCACACTATTCTGAACCTTGGTTTTTTCACTTAACCGTGTATCTTGAGGATCTTTCCTTATTGATACATAGACTGCCTCTTGACATACATTCCACCCCCGTTTTTTTTTTTAACAGCTATATAGTGTTATATTACATAGATTTACCATGATTTGTTTAACCAGTTCCCTATTGTTAAACAATTAGGTTGCTTCCAATCTTTTGTGATTAGACATAATTCAGTAGTTGATTATCTTCTTCAAAAGTCATTATGCCTATGTCTGAGAAACACTGTGGTTCAATACATTCCCGGAGGTGGATTGCTACGTCAAAGGGTTTTTGCATTCATAATTTTGATAGCTATTGCCAAATTGTCCTCTCAAGGGATTGAACCAGTTCTTCCACCAACCTGTTAGGAAAATGCCTATTGTCCCATAGTCCTATCTACAGAATGTTGTCAAATATTTGGATTTCTGCTGATCTAACAGGAAGAAAATGTTTTCATAATATAGTTTTAATTTGTATTTCTACTCTGAGTGAGGTTGAACATCGTCTTCTGTGTTTAAAAGCCATGTGTACTTCTTTTTATCTCTTCCATTTACTTTAGATTGTTGGTCATTCAGTTCTTTTACTAATAAAAATATGAGATTGAAATATTTTAGTAGGTTGTGTTTAGTAACTTCTTAATAACAAATGAACAGTTAACATCTATAGTCTGTTAGTGAAACACTTTAAAATGTACTTAATAAAATATAATTATACTAGATCTAGTCAAATCTCTCTTAATTTTAAGGTCATTACAAAATGTGTAGATCAAAGGTTGGGTTAATTGATTTTTCAGACAAATTTTCAAAGTTCAAGGTAAAACCAATTTAATCTGAGTTTTTGAGCATAAGAGTAGTGTTCCAAAATTAATTCGATAATGAAAAAATAAGATTTATTTCTTCTAGAAATCTTTTACATTTGAGAGACGTGGTTTGTCCCACAAATAATGACATTTCCAGAACAATTTGATGGGAGTAGGAGAATGAATATTTGAAGTTTGGACTAACTTGAAAAGTCTAAGCTTTATGGTTGCAAAATACATTCTGTCCCACAGATAAGAATGATAAACACATTCATGGATGGGTGGCAGTATGCTCTTACTGTTCATTCAGAGCGACTTTCTTAAGAAGTAAAGAGTATTCCAAGTTTTTTTTTTTACAACTCTGCATACCCATCCTTTTTCTCTGCCTCATCTCAAACACCTCTAGCTTTTTGTTTCTGTCACTTACAATTTTCAGGTATTATACCCTATGGACAATTAATTAGGGAAGTAGTTGCTTTACCAAATTAGTGAAATAATAAAATGGGCCAGTAGTTTGTTTATATTTTGTTAATTTATTATCATTTAAAGTCTGGCTTTATTTATGCAATGAAAAATATATTTTTAGAATTGCATCAATGTGGAGAGACATCCAGCACACGTCCGTCAGGTATGGTGTCATTCCAGGACATTCTCTGGTACTCCGTTTTTCTACCTTATCAGCCAGCTAAATTTACCTTAGTTAAACTTAATCATTTTGAGTTTTTTCCATTGCCGAAAACATTGAGCTGCATGCCGTTGTCAAGTTAGCCAGTTGTCACATTTTAGCAATCTTAATATTGTTTGTATGCTTGCTTTATAGATATTTCTAAAATTGTTTATCAGGAAAAAATTATTGGCTTACTGCTTTTTTTAGGCATTAATGTTTAGCCTTTCCAAAGTTATTGAAAATGTTCTGAATGCTTTCTATCAAAATCATCTAATTGTAAATAACTAAAATTTTGTCATATGTTCCCAAATTTAGTTATTTTTAAGTTATTTTAATATGCATCCATCACATTACATTTTACCACACTAATAATATAATGTATCTACTTATGTTTTTTGAATATCTTATTTGGTTATATTTATAGAATTATGATACAAATAGAAAAAATAACATTGTTATTTTGACTAATCGTGTGCTTTCCTGCTTGTTCAAGTTTACCTACTGATTAATGCTAAGTCAATTCTTTAGAAGATAAAATGTGAGTTTCTAAAAATATGCGTGAAAAAAGTTTTAAGAAAGTAATCAGTCTGAACTTGCTATCAAATACTGAAAATGCTTAACTTAATTAGAATTCAAATTAAAGTGAATAAGCAAAATATTCCAGGTATTGGAGATCATAACTAACAGTGGTAACTGACATACTTTTATTAATAATACAGATTTAAAAGAAATTTGTATAGTTCAAAGGATTTAAATTGGAAAATAGTTTCAAGGCCTTTTCAGTATTCGTCTTACAATTAATTTAATGCTGATCATTTAAATCAGAGCAAGATGATTCCAAAGAAGTATTTTCCACGCTAGTTTTGACCAGTGTCAATATATGTGATTAAAAAAATATTATTACCCGTGATGAAAATTGGGTTTTTAATTTTTTTTAAGGTTACTAAATATATTTCAGGTCTGACTTCAACAGGAACTTTTATTATTTAATTTTGGTTTCAGGGCCCTTTCAAAAAGTCAGTCTTAATATATCTGAACTATATGCCTTAAATTAACTGTATATATTGTTTCAGGATGTTAATTAGAAAGTAGCATTTACTTGCATAAAAATTATGCAGTATTGATTGGAAAATAATGTGAAAAGAGTGGGGGAAGGTATAAGAATGGTGGGATAAAATGATTGTCAAACTTTTTGTTGGTTTAAAATTAGAAGTTAAAATAGAAATAAAATTTTAATGTAGTACCAATGTTTATTTCTTTTCTGATACAAAATTATTACTGTTCTAATAATTTGATTTTATATAGAGAGAAGTTCCTTAGTTGAAGTACTAAATACATTGTCAATTACAAGTAAATCACAGTGGTTTCAAAAAGATTTCAAAAATCCAGTGACAAATGATGCATCTATAGTATTTTTAATTGTGCTATGTGTTTTAGGTATTTGTGAAATGTCATTTTGATTATAATCCGTACAATGATAACCTGATACCCTGCAAAGAAGCAGGATTGAAGTTTTCAAAAGGAGAAATTCTTCAGATTGTAAACAGAGAAGATCCAAACTGGTGGCAGGTTAGTACGCTTCTCAAAATTCCCTCAACTGCTTTTGTGTTTTCAATCTTAGATCTGGCCAATATCTGAATATTCAGGAAGAAGGTATTAGCTTTTGTTCCAATGGTTTTTCCTGCATGAACAGCTCCTGCTTCATGGCTGCTAATTTTGTGGACAGAAGACCAAATTGAGAGGGAATTTGTGAGTAGCTGTTAATAAATGCAGAATTAACTAGCCTGTGGTATGATCCCATTGGTTTAGGAATTAGACCAATTGGTTCTTCTACATGGGCGTTTGCAGCAAAATATGGTATTGGGCAAGAAGAACTTACTTGAGGTCATCCCTTTGCAATGTTTTTGCTTGTTTATTTTAACTAGGAGTCTTTTACTATGGGTATAGTAGTCTTTCTCTTGTCTCCTCTCCCTCTGTGTACATTCACGACAAATAGAACATAGTTTCTTAAGCTCTTAAATCTGTTTGCCCTCCTCTTCTCAGTTACTGAGAAATGAATGTTTGCTTTATCATCAGTATTGTTTGGTCTTGGATTGAAATCTGTATATATGGAAAGGAGTGCGTGTTATCACTTTACACACACACACACACACACACACCCGTCCATTTTCCAGAAGATCTGTGTAATGGTGTGTTTTTTCCTTTCCCCTGATACAGCTTTCAGAAATCTCTAACAGCAGTAAGTCTGTTTTTGTAATTGTTTACATCAGTTGACAACTGCAGTATCCAGAACTATGGAAACTGACAAATCAGAAAGTCTAGAATACCTTAAACTGTCAGAACAAGTGAGAGTCTCATTAAAGAACAAGGTGTGAGAGCAAAGGACCCAGAACCTAACACTAAACTCTAAATTGGACTGAGATATGAGTCACGTTAGCTCTCATAAGTTACGTTGACTTCTAAGGGGGAATGAATTACAAGAATGAGAACAACCTTACTAGTGTGTCCTTAAATTAAGACAATAAATTATTATGTACAAATGCACTATGTGGTGAGAGAACTAAGTAAATTAAACAGAATCCATGATTTCAAGACATTTCAACTGAATTTCTTAGAACTCACATCTAAAAAATCTGCTTTCTGTGGCTGTTTCCTTTATTGAACTTTGCTAGTTTTCTCTGTTTTCCCCTTTCTGTGAATGCCATCTCTTCAAATCCAGCCACCATTATCTTAATCTCATCTTGCATTTTAATTCTATTTTTCAAGATTTTAATTGCTAAAAATGGTACCAGATTTTTCTTTGCTAGTTGTAATGATAAAGGCACTAACCTTGTGGAATAAATCAGTAGCCGCCAGTTCTCCAGCCACTATCTTAAAATAGCACTTCTTTGGATTTTATTTTAAAAGTTAGCTTCTTGACAGTAGGTGAAGTTTTACCTTATCTTAAACTTACTACCTCTCAGGATATTTAGATTCCTGGTAGCATGAATTAAACTGTCCACTCTTTTCCCAATATTGGCTTTTTTTCATTGATTTTGCCTCAGGAATTACCAACGTAGTAGGATTATAGTTGATAGTAAATACCTTACTGAAGGGTGCTAGATGAAATGTCCCGTTAACACGTAGAATAGAATTCATTCTTTTCCGTTCTTTGACTAACTTAGTATCATAAATAAAAAGTTTTAGTAATTTAAAGAGCCTGTATACCTTTGTATTATGGTCCCAAATCTTCACTACCAGATGGCAGATTGATTAGGTGCCAGTTGATTCCTTAGTGCTCAAGGATTTAAATATCTTAACTGACAATGCCTTGGATTTAAGTTTCAAGGTCAGTTTTTCAGAGCAAATGTGTTTTTTTGTTTGTTTGCTTGTTTTTTACTGACTACTGCTTGTCCTACGTGTTAGAATATGGCCTCAAGTTTTGGTCACTGAGATATACAATTCATTAATTTGATTCTAGGCTAGCCATGTAAAAGAGGGAGGAAGCGCTGGTCTCATTCCAAGCCAGTTCCTGGAAGAGAAGAGAAAGGCGTTTGTTAGAAGAGACTGGGACAATTCAGGTGATGCACTCCGCGTCATAAGTGACAAGTAGTCCTTTGTGGCCACCTTTTTTTGCCTCCTTCATCTGAATTAGCAAATGAATTTATTTAAAATATATCTAGAATTAATCCCTCCCATCTGCCTTATTGTATCTCTCTCAAAAGTCAACTTTTTGATCCCTTTCTGCCACCTGCTGGTATAGTATCAGAATTCAGGGGCTCAACTCACCCCTGCCCCCTTCTGCTTTGTAGGATGCAACACGGGGAAGATAATTCTCCCGCCCCTGTAGAACACCACAGGGCAACTTGATCATATTCTCACATAATGTTTAAGTTACATTTGTCTTGTCATCCTTCAGGACCTTTTTGTGGAACCATAAGTAGCAAAAAAAAGAAAAAGATGATGTATCTCACAACCAGAAATGCAGGTATGTTTTAAATACATTTCGAGAAGTCTGAGTGAAATAGCTTTATAACATTAATCGATGTGGCATAAAGTCTAAATGTATAATTTTAAGTGAATGTAATTCAGATTAGTACCCAATTGCAAGGGGCTGACATGTGCACACATGGTACAATTTAATGTAAAGACATTATTTAAACCTGGTATTATATATACTTATACTATCACAAGTGTGCTTTATTTTATGAGTATAGTTTATAATAAAATGAATTGGTTGGGATTTATGCTTGTATTAATGAAGAAGCAATGTTATAATTGAAACTCTTTGTTCAGAGAACTTTGATCATTTCTAAAGAACAAATGCCTTTATAAAGATATTAAAAGAGTTATGATTAAGGGCAACTATATTCTGCCATAAGATTGTCCATGATACTTTTGGGAAAATAGTACTGGACCAAATAAATCTTAGTCTAATCTAGTAGGATTCTTTCTTAAATCTTTTAGACTTAAAGAAGATAAATATGACACCTACAATAGTTATTCTTTTCGGTTATGGAGGTTGATAGGAGTGAAATGCAGCTCTCTGAATCACAAGGCTCTGGGGGCTTACTCAAAGGAATTGACAGTTTTAAAGTACTTTCTTGATTTCAGAGCTCCTCCTATACTGATAATAAACTAAATAGCACACTATAAAGAAAATAGTACAATAATATAATAATATAATAAGAAGAAGAAGAAATAGATTCTCCCTTAATATTGGTTTAATCTACTGTGGAGAAATTGTGCAAAGAAAGAATTGCTGTTAAGATAATAAGCTAAGGAAGAAGTGTTGTTGCTACAGATTGAGATTTGTAGCCGTAATAATAGGTAATATTTCAAATCCACTTTGGCCTTATTATTCATTAACTATTTAAAGCTTTCTTGCAAAATAGAAAATTTGTAATTTTCCCATTGACTAAGGTTGTAATTTTGGAATGTGTTTCTACTTGAAATAGTTTTGATCCAACGTTTTGTTTTATATGCAAATTCAGAATCTTAATATTTAAATGTCAGTATGTTGTCTGTTTGCACTTTATTAATCTAACTGGTATGTGCAGAGTCACCACGTAATATTTGTTCATTTATATCATTGGAAGGGCGCATTCATTCTATGGAACTTATTTAAGCAGGCACACTAGGTGTACTGCTGTCCTCCGTATTTGATATGCTTTAGCTGAATAAATTATATAAACTAATTTTCAATTTATTTATATTAAAGGAGTTATTTCTACTGATGAATTGGTAAGAAAGAGGTTTTAATGGATAGAATATCTGATAAGGATAAAGCATAGGCATTTTTCTAACTTGGTTAGACAAATTTTTAAGGGCGAATGGGTGGAAGCAGATGTTGAAATCAAGATATAAAATAATTTATTGTACTTGACCAAATTTGTAAAAACAAATCTGTACTAAATGAGTACAATTGAAGTGATATTTAACTCTCAAGACAACTAAGCCATTACTGAACAGAATAGCAGAGGTTTTTCATCCATATAGAAGATAACTGAATATGATGTTTTCTTATTTCCTTTTACATTTAGAATTTGATCGTCATGAAATCCAGATATATGAGGAGGTAGCCAAAATGCCTCCCTTCCAGAGAAAGACATTAGTGTTGATAGGAGCCCAAGGTGTGGGACGAAGAAGCTTGAAAAACAGGTTCATAGTATTGAATCCCACTCGATTTGGAACTACAGTGCCATGTAAGTTTGCTTTTCATTTGGCAGGAAAGCGTCAAGGGGGGCGGGGGCAGACTATTATTATTTTTATTCCGAAATAATATTTGATTATGCCAGTGAAAACGAACAAGGAGAAGATACTGGAAAACTCAGTGGCTCCATAGCTGTCTTGAAATAGCACTATGGCCCGGTCGACTGGCGGCAATCACTTCTCCAGACTCTTCAGTCCAGAAATTTTAGTTAAATGCAAGTGTTAACAGTTGTGGTAAAATCAGCGTTAACTTTGAATTTTCTTGTTCAACTCCTGTCTATCTGAAAAGCTGTATATTTCACCCATTTTAGCGTAAGGCAAAGGAGGAAACCTGCTGGATCCTCAGACACTGCCAGCCTGGCAATCCCTTTGTGAATTTGTGTGATCAGTTTATAGCTCTCAGTCCAGCAAGGTCATAAACCTGATTTTTGATAGCACATCAAGAGCGATTCATCTTCCAGAGCATTAAGGTCTCAAAGATTGCTATATAAAATGAAATAATACTGAGGGGAAGTATAACCATGAAGTGAACCAAACGCTCATTTTATGATCTTTGCATTCTTTCCCTATTTACGTATTTACACGGAAAGTTAAATAATGATGTCAGAAGTATGCTTGATGAGAATGGAATTAGATCAAGGAGTTAGATGGTATCACTGACTTATTATAAGGACTAATATACATTCGTCTTTATTTTGGAGATGGGTGAGTCTTTACTTGTGGGAACTTAGGTGCTCCCTCCCCTGAACAATGCAGGAGACAAGCCAGTGTTGCCTTTACAACTACTCTTTCTTTGCATCTAATGCTGACCAAGCCCTGTTTTGATTAACAGCATTTCTTTAGATATATTAATGCCTTTGAGCTATTCTGAGTCAAATCTTAGCCTAATGTCATTCCATCTCTTTTAGATGAATTTTAGAGTTTCTCTGCTTTCATGCAGTATATTTTGAGGTTTAATTCTCAGTAAGTAATCTTAGCGCTAACATTCTTAGGGCTTGATTGGGGGAGTAACCTTGTTATTGCCCCTATGTGCTGTTTGTTATCCCTTCAGGGTGAGGCTTTGGAGTCCATTGTAGGCACTGTAAATCACTCAATTCAGACACATCCTAGTTGAGTAGTTAACAAAATAAAAACTTCACTGTGTTCTAAGTATTTTATTTTACATTTTTATCAAATTAATACAGGTACAGTATTTTAATCAAGTAGTTCTTAAAGATATATAATGGAAAAAATAACCTCCTGTCTTCCACTACCCCACCTCTGGCCTGCTTACCAGAAACAGTCACTTTTCATTCTTTTTGCTGTTTCTTTGGTAGTATTCCATATTTCTTAATAATGTCTTCCCTCTGCTATTTCTTGTTTTATCCAGCTTAGGTCTTGTCTATTGACTTGCTGACTGTCCTCCAAATATGAAGATAGCTCTAGTTTCAGTTAATTCAATTTTATTTTCTTGAACAGCCTCTCCCTCTCCCCCCACCCAGCAATTGCTAAGAGTTCTTTTTTCCTTCCCGTCTTTACCTTGATTTTATGTGTATGTGTGTATAATTTGTTTTAAACCAAAGACTCACTTATCCAATAAGTCATGTTTTTTCCTTAGAGACCTCTGTCTCAAAACCCTGCCTTCTTGCTTTAATGAGGACTCCGCACTCTCCATTCCAGCTGCCCCACTGTTAACACAGGAGTGTTTCCCTTTGCTGCTGTCCTTGGTTGAAGCTGTTGTTCCTGGATCCCATTCTTTTTCCTTCTTATTTTATTGCCTTGTTTTGCTGGGGCACATTGTCTTGTAATTTTGCAAGAAATGGTGTATGGGATGTAATTTCTGCATCTTTATATTTGAAGATGTATATTTTCTGCCTTACATTTGGTTGATTTATTTAGCTGAGAATAGAAATTCTAGATTATAAAACTCAAAAGATGTTACTTTTGAATCCAGTTCCGTTAAGAAGTCCAAAGCCATTCTAATTCTTGTTCTTTCATACATGACTTGATTTTTCTTTTGGGATCTTTTGTTTGTTTTATTTTGTTTTTGTTTGGTTGGCTGTTTTTTTGTGTGTGTTTTGGTTTTTTTCAGTAAATTATCCTTACTTTCCTCTGAATTACTTTTTCTGTTTATGGTATATCTGTGTATGTTTTCTTTTATGCTGGAGGATTTTTTTTCTTTTATGTACTGATCCTTGTTTGTACATCCATACTTTAAAGTGTTACAACTGGTGGGGAGCTCTGTGTACACAGGACTCGGTATACTGTGTACTTGGCAACTGATAGAGCTTTATTTTATGAAGTGGGCAAAGAGCCAGCTGTTTTGTTGGGGGAGCCCAAAATGTTGGTATAAGAAGGTTTTTGGGGGGAGCTGTTAGAGTTCTCCGGAGAAAAGTCTTCAGATATCCCCCTGCTGAGAGTATTCTCTAATCAAGGTAAAGGAGGGAGGAGATGTGAATTAACCTGCTCCATATGCATAATTATCCCCCCATACCAATTTTTAGCTTCTTGCTTTAACATCCCAAGTCTCTTCAAGGCTCTGTAGGATAAAGCAGTCCCATTCTCATCCTTAACCCCCTCTCTAACACTTTAGTTTGTAGCTTCTGCCCTGCATTATCATTACCTGAAGTTAGTTTTAATATGGTCTGGCTTATGGTATCCTAGGATTTCCTTTTTTTCTTGGTATTGATTTCATTTTAGTTTTAAAATGTTTTCCTTTGAAATTTTTCCATCTTTTTAAAATTAAATTTGTCATATATAACAAAGCTGATTTAAAAATAATAATAATAATAAAATACATATATTCTCAGGCCCCAAAATTCTCAGTCTCTCTGAAGCTCATTTGTATGCTTTCAATTGCACAGCCACTCAAAGGCGGTAACTACTTAGAACTGTGCATTAATCATTCCTTTACCTTTCTTCATCCTTTTACCACATGGTTATGTTTTTTGTTGTTGTTTTCCAAAATGCTATTTATTTTCTTTTTAACAGCTTTGATGTATAATTCATATACCATATAATTCATCCATTTTGTACACTAAAGTGGTTTTTACTATATTCACAGAGTTGTACAAGCATTACCACAGTCAATTTTAAAATATTTTTATCACTCCAGAAAGGAACCCTGTAACTGTTTCCCACCACCCCTTTCCCCTTGTAGCCACTGGCAACCACTAATCCACTTTCTGTCACAATAGATTTGCCTATGTGGATATTTTGTGGAAATGTAATTACACAGTATGTGGTCTTTTGTGACAGGCTGCTTGACTTAACATAAGGTTTTCAAGGTTCATCCATGTTGTAGCAGGTATCAGTACTTGGTTTCTTTTTATTGCTAAGTGATATTCCATTTTATGGCTATACTACATTTTACTTATCTGTTCATTAGTTGATGGACATTTGGATTGCTCTATTTTTTAGCTATTATGAATAATGCTGCTATTAACATTTGTGTACAGGTTTTTGTGTAGACATACATTTAACTCTCTTGGCTATATACCTAGGAATGGAATTGGTGGGTCATATAGTGACTCTGTGTTTAACCTTTTGAGAAACTGCCACGTTGTTTTCCACAATGGCTGTACCATTTTACACTCCCAGCAATGTATGAAGGTTCTGATTTCTCTGCATGCTCAACAACATTTTCATCTTACTTGATTATAGTTAGGCTAGTGGATATGAAATTGTGTCTCATGGTTCTAATTTGCATTTCCCTAATGGCTATTAAAGTTGGGCAATTTTTTATATACTTATTGGCCATTTGTTGATCTTCTTTGGAGAAATGTCTATTCAGATTATCTGTCCATTTTTCAATTGAATTGTCTTTTTCTTGTTAAGAGGAATTCTTGTTTATATTCTGGATACAAATCCCTTATCGGAAATATGATTGCAAATATTGTCTCCCATTCTGTGGGGATTTTTTCATTTTCTTGATGGTGTCCTTTGCACAAAACTTTTTCATTTCGATGAAGTCCAATATTATAGATCGTTTTCTTTTGTTGCTCATGCTTTTGGGATCATATCTAAGAAGGCTTTGCCTAACCCAAGGTCACAAAATTGTACGCTTTTATGCTTTCTTCTAAGAGTTTTATAGTACTAGCTCCTACATTTACATCTATGATCAATTTTGAGTAAATTTTTGCATGAAATGTGAGGAAGCTTCATTCTTTTGCTTGCAGAATACCCAGTTGTCCCAGCATAGTTTGTTGACAGACTGTTCTTTCCTCCGTTGACTTGCCTTGCCACTGTTGTCGAAAATCAATTGATTATAAACGTGAAGGTTTATTTATGGACTCTCAATCTTATTTTATTAACCTATATGTCTATCCCTATGCCAGACACACATTGCCTTGATTACTGTTTTTTGTAGTAAGTTTTGAAATCAGGAATCCTGACTCCTTCAAGTTTGTTCTTTTTCAAAATTGGTTCGACTATTCTGAGTCCGTGGCATCTCCATGTAAATTATAGGATAAGCTTTCCATTCCTGAAAAGAAAAGGCAGCGGGGATTTTGACAAGAATTGTGTTGAGTCTGTAGATCAACTTAGGGAGTATTGCCAGCTTAACAATATTAAGTCTTCTGACCCATGAAATGGGGTATCTTTTCATTTATTTAGGTCTTTAATTTCTTTCAATGCTATTTGTAGTTTTCGGCATACAAGTCTTATGCTTCTTTTGTCAAACTTATTCCTAAGTATTTTAATCTTTTTGATGCTATGATAAAAGGTATTATTTACCCAATTTCCTTTTCAGATTGTTCATTGCAAATGTATAGAAATACAACCAGGTTTTGTATGTTAGTGTTGTATTCTTTTATAAATTAGAACTCATTCTAATTTTTTGTAAATTTCTAGGATTTTTTATATACAAAATCATGTCATCTGCACATAGAGATAGTTTTTCTTATTCCTTCCAATCTGGATGTCATTTATTTATTTTTCCTCATTGCCCTTATTAGAATCTCGTGTGCAATGTGGAATAGAAGTGGCAAAAGTGGGCATCCTCATCTCTTCCATG